GACATTCTTGGTAGCTAAAAACTAGACTATAACAAGTCTTTTTAAAGTTTAAAAGAAAGTCATCTCGGTCATTAAGACACCTTCTTCATAGTGCCAAGAGAATAACTACCAATGAAGTTATGAGGTGAAACGTCTCTTACATAGGTAGAGAAATTAAAATCTTGTTAAGAAATTTTGTGTGTAACAATCTGGAGAGGGCTAGAACAGAACTAAAGGGCAGGAATTACAGAGTAATTTGGAGCTGATGAAATCTGGCAAGGATTTTTTTAAAGCACTGAAAAGAAAGGAATGTCAAAGATAAAACTAATGAGAAAATGAGAGGAAAAAGAAAATAGGCAGATAATATGCCGCTGGACATAATCCCAAATTCATCAGGAAGATGAATCAGGAAGAAGAATCAGGAAGCTTCTGTAATCATTAGGTAGTGCTAAGACTTTGTTTTTTGCTATTATTGTTTTGTTTTGCTTTGATATGCTGGGGATAGAACCTAGGTCCTTGCACACACTAAGCAAGCGCTCTACCACTGAGCTGTACCCAGCCTGCACTAAGAACTTCTTTATGCTCATCATTCTCAATTTTATTCATCAGCTTTATCAGCACTCTGGTGATTTTCCACCTAGATTGACAACTATTTTACAACTCTTCATTTGCCTCTTTTGGTTTTTCTCACTGACCTGAGCCTGAACAAATTATTTCACTATGAATACAAAGTCAAGTAAGATTTGATCATCATCACTGAGTGGTGCATTATATAGTCAAGATAGGTTTAGATACATGCTAATTAATATTTTAATTAGGAAACGTTGGAGAAGGCACAGTGGTAGATGTCATCACTGAGTGTTTATAATAACTAGTAGCATTTCATCGTTAATCTTTGATTTCTTCATCTATTAAATATTGGAATCAAGTTATAAATTCTCTAATTCCCAAATTCTGGTTTTCATTTTTGATTGTGACATATCTGAAATAATTAAGATCTCTAAGAGATTTTTTTTTCATTAGAAGGCTAAAAGTCCAAATGATTAAGTTAAATAATAACCATGCCTTAAAATTAAGAACTAATTATAATCGGGAAGCTGATGAAGGACTATTTGTTTTTAAAAGGAGGTGAAAAAATAATGAAACATAAAAAAGGATAGACGGAGGAAAAAAAAGGCAAATATCTGGATGTTTGCATTAAAATGTTTGGAAAAGCTTCCTATGTTATAGAACTTCTAGTTAATATTAAATTTTTAATGAAAGTTTTACATTCCAGTAATTTTTTTTTATTTCAAAGAATTCCTCAAAATAAATAAATAACATCCTTGATCACAGAAATTGCTCATTTTCACCAAAATAGTGAAAAAATTTCAGGTAGTTATTAGCAAATGGTAGTTATTAACATTTCCTGTTCAACATAGAAGTGTTATGTTTCACAAAAAAAAAGATTTTTATGATATTGTCCAAAAACAATGATGCCATTTTATAAAACTAACATTAAACATTTCTAAGTAGCTTAAATGTATTTGTAAATTTATTTAAAGGAATGGCTGTTGAAGATCTCAACTACCAATTTTTATTCATTTGCTAATATGCTCAGTTTCTTGATGGTAGATAAAATTTCCAAATTTTAAATAAATTTACTTAACCACATAAAATTTCCTAAGTATTTTCAATAATCAATCAAAAACTATTCCCTTCTGAGTAACTTTAAGTTGTTCTCTTGACCTTTGTATAATGGTAAGCTCAACTCCCTTCTTTCATGTGATTTGCTAAGTAGGTTTCCTGGTAAGACTCTAAGATTGCCCTGAGTTTGCTCTGCCCCAATAAGACACAGGGTGGCAAAATTCCAAGATAATAGTTCTCTTTTCCTTCACTTAATCATTTTATAATAATAGAAGTATTAAAAATAGTAAATAATTGTGGAACTTCTCATCTAATGAATTTGTTGTAGATTTTCATCTTAAGAGAAAAGCTGATTTTGAATTCTTCAGACACTGCAATCAGATTACTATTTTCATGCAATCATGGAAATTTAAAATGCAAAGTTAATTGAAAGTATAAAGATGAAAAGCAAGTGCTATGCCTAAAATAGTGCACAACAGTCATGTTTCACTTAACTCTCAAGTCAGAACATAAATTACAAATTCTAGATGTGACATGCCAAATATTTGAAACATGGAAGAATGCATACAACAGAATCTGTACCAATTACAAACTTAAATGCATAACTTATAAGGGAACAAATTCATGCTTAAATATTAACAGCAAATAATGCTTTTCTTATTTTCAGAAAGTGATGCTGCAAATAAATTCCATCACCACTTTATACAGTACTGAAAATTCACAACAGCATATCCCCAAGCTTTGAAAAATATCTGAAAGGAGCAAAAGAACATGGATACTCTGAGCCTAAAGAAAAATATTTTTTGCTCATATTACAATTAAAAGAAAGACATATTACACAATGGAATACCATCAAAAACAAATATTATAAAATTTAACAACATAGGTATATACAGGAAATCTGCCTTATGCTGTATACTTTATCTTATTTTTATAAGCGAACATTTTCTATGTATAATTATGTTGAGAGTTAAGGAATAATGATAAGTTTTAAGTTTTAAGTTTTCCTTATGTTTTTGTTGCTCTATCACTTTCTTAAAAATATATTCTGTAATTGAAATACAAGATTATTCACTCACTCAGGAGTTATAGCTAACCAATATGAGAACAAGCAAAACTTCTCAGAATGTGCCAACATATAAATTTCTCCAGAGTGAAAGCTGAATCAATAAAATATAAAATTATATTTAGATACTTTCACATAAATTATAAAATATGACAAAGAAAATAGAGATGATAAAGCATCTTAAAAATTCAATATATATATTCACCCAACATACATAATAAAAAGGAAATATTCTTTTTTATGTGACTAGAGTACAACCATAGTAAATAAATAATTTCATTTTCCTATATGCAGAAACAATATATGAGAAACAAGGTAACAAGCAAGCTTACCCTTTCACATAAGCTCTTTTAAAAATCCCTTAACATAGGCACTTTTAAAAACTGATGATATATTTAGACTGCAATATCTAAAAACAGATACTTTTTAAATGTATTGCAAATTGAAAGTGATTTTCAGACCTATTCTAGAAACCCACTGTCATACAGAACTCAAGACATCCCACTTTATATTTTATCTGTCAATTTACTTTCTTCTTCCCCACACTCACATCCTTTTTCCCATTCCCAAATTAGACTTTAAAATCCCTGAGGGCAGGACCTATCTATCTTTTTATTCCCTCTTGCACCCAATATTGTGGCAAGCAAGATATGGGGTGCTCCATGATTATTTAATAAATGGATGAATGCATGAATAAGAATGAAAGTATATGCAAACCCCACAGCTGTCAGTTTTTTGTCTTCCTTATATCAAGTCAATCAAATGAAGATGGATTCTGTAACATATTTTCACAGTAAAATGAAGTATAATCACTAAATTGTGCTGTATGTGAAAATATATAGGCACATCCTTCAGAACACTGATACCCAAGCAGTGAGATAGTAAGCTGTATCCTGCCCTTAGTTAAAAAAAAAAAGCTCCATTAGGGTCAAATAATTTGAGAAATGCAGTATTTTAAAATTTTTGAGCAACGTGTCTTTACCACTCGATCCCTCAAAGCACATATGCTAATGTGAAGTGTCACTCTCTAAGGTGCTATCAAAGAACGCTTTTGTTCTTGGATCACCTCAGCAAAAGAATGTTCTAAGGAACAGAATACGGGAAACTGTTTTAGAAGAATAAAAGACACCATGTTAAATCTCCTTCACTAAAGCAATTTTATAGATTTGAAGGAAATATTTAGTGTTGCATTAAATATTCATCACTCTGTCTCCTCAGAAAGTAGAATGAAGACAAAACTATCACAAGCATCCTTCTGCACCCACCTGTCCCTCTTTAAGGGGTAGGGAATATCTATTCATTGGTGCTGATATTCTTTATAGGGATTGGTCGGTACACTTTTTGAAGAATTTTCTTCATTTTTCCTCAAAATATTTATTTCCCCTTCTTTTTGTGTTCTATTCTTTCTACACATATATGTTCAAAATAAAGGAACCTCTGGATTGCATCTTAAGAAACATATCTTCAGACAATAGATCATTATATTTGGTTAATCTTTAGGAGTGTTCAGAAAATATTAATACTCATTAATAAGCAGAATAACTATGACATTTCTATGAGGAAATGTTAATAGATATGGTTCTGAGATTTCCTACAGGCTCATTGTGATTCTGCAAAATTAATCTACATACTTTCTATATAACTAAGCTGCAGACATGATAATGAAAGGTTTTTCTACATTGGAAAAATAGTACTATGGGGATTCAAGGGAAAGTAGGAGACCAGATAACTCTCCACTGTTGATGGTCACAAGATTTAGACCTGCTGCCATCTCTAGCATTAGCTGGGTGACTTTGGAACATTGGTAAGTGTTTCACAGTGTCAGGTGTCTCTTTTATATATCTGAGAAAGTAATTCAGTGGTTTTTGAGCTATGTACCTTAGGGACTGCTGGAGCAGTGGGTTATGAAGACTAGGGGATTAGGGAGGACAGACCAAGGAGACAGTGGGGCTCTGGCCCCACGTATGCCACCTAGCAGCTCTGCCTTAAGATGTTTCACACATTAAAATTCAAAACAATATTTATTTTTAAAGCATCCTGTAAATTTAAAAAGAGAAACCCATAGATTACATGATCTAAAGTTCTGTTTGGGTATATGTTCTGTTTATATTTCTAATGGATATGTTTTCATCTCAGAAAAAAATCTTTTTACTTTTTTTCCTATTCATTCATATGCTCTTGGTTCAAGTAAAAAAAAACATAGTGATTTTTATTATTTTTATATAGCTTATTTTACACTTGTATAATTCTCTCTCTTTAAATAAAAACATAAGTTGATGTGTCATTTTTCAAAGCACAATTAAAGACAGCATGGAGATTGGATAATGTTAACTCTTGCTCACACATAACTTTAAGCGATCTTTTCATGCTGCCTTTGGACACTTAAATACTGTACTAAATAATCTTTGAGGTAGAACCAAAATGAAATAAAACAACAACAAAAAAGAAGCAAAAACATTCACAGGAAGCGGGAAAATGGGAAAGGAAGCTGTGGGAGATTTCCTTTTGACACAAGTATCATCGTTGGGCTTTGCAGTCTTCTTTGAGGCAGAGTTGGGAAATGGTCTTCTTAATCCGAAGTGCTGTCAGACGCGCTGCTCCGTTGGCATACCAACACTCACGCATTACTCTTCCCATGACCCGGAGTGCCTTTAAGAGAGAGAAAAATACCAACAGTTTTTAGCTTCTTACACAAAGCAGAGTACAAAAGAAACAAAACCACAAACCCAAGACTTGATGCTAAACTTTGATGGGGAAAAAAAATAGCAAACTTTATGCAACATTTGAAATAGACTGGGGCCAAACTTCTTCACTAATCCTATCAAGACACAAATATTGCAGTGGTTAGCTTAAATGAAAATCAGTCTGTTGGTTTCTGGAAATGTTGTAGGATGTCTATCTTTTAAAATTCTCACTTAAGAAGGGGCATGAAAAATATAAAGGAGAGAACTTGCTTAAGTCTTTGCTTTTGAGGAAGAAAAAAGAAAATGAAGTCTATGTTTCTAAATATTTCAGGAAACCTGAGCTCATATTGAAAATCCACAAACACACAGGGAAACACGGTCCCACACCAAGAGTCAACTGAAACAATAACCAGTAGACTCACGTCCATGAAAATATCAGATGTTAGAATTAAGTGATATAAGATAGCCATAGAAAATATGCTTTAAAAAGAAAAACTGCAGATATGCATAAATGTACTTTTAAATACCAATAAAGTTCTTGATATGAAAAATAATTAAAGATTTCAGTGGATGAGTTAGATTGCAGTTTAGATATATGAAACAAAGAACTAGAAGAAAATTTTGTGAGCTACAGCATAAAAAAGACCCAAATACAGGAAATATGAACAGAGAGAAGACAACTAAAACAGAATGAAAGAGTTAAGATTCATTCAATGAATTTTCCAAAATGAGTAATATAGACAATGAGAAGAGCAACTATTTGAAGAGATACTGTCCCAGAATTTTCAAGAAATGTCACAAATCCTTAGAATTAGAAAGGTTATAACTTCTAAGCCAGATTACCAAAGAGACACTAAAGACATGGAAAAGTTTTTAAGACTAATCAGAAAGAAAAGATAAATTAAGTGAAAAGAAACACAAACTTGATTACATGCAGACCTCTCAACAGTAATAATGGAAACTAGATGACAGTGAAATACTTCAGGTATTTAGAGAAAGTAGCCATTAGCTGAAATGTGCATGTCCAGATAAAGTACCTATTCAAGATTGAGGACAAAATAAAGACATTTTTGGACACCACAAACTTACAACCTGAAAGAACTTGTACCCACCAGACCTTCACTAAAACAAATAAATATACAGACAGATAAATACTTAAAGAATGAATATCAGAAGGTGAGAAAATGATTTTAGAAGAAAGCTTTGAGAGGCATGAAGGGATGGTGCATAAAAAAAATTATAATAGCCTGGTGTGGTGACAGATACCCATAATCCCAGCACTCAGGAGGCTGAGGCAGGAGAATTGCAAGTTTGAGGACAGCCTGGGCTGAGATAGTGAGGCCCTATATCAAAAAACAGAACAAAACAAAACTAAAAGGGAAAATGATAATAAATATACAACAATGATATAAATCAGACCAATATCTAATACAAAAGATCAACATAAAATAAGCTATTAAGTAAATGACTAGACAAAAAACATATGTATCAACACTATGTAAAGTCAATCACATATAAAATGATAAGGTTGGGTCTCTTCCAGGAATGGAACAGTGGAATGGTTTAACAGTGGAAACTCTGGAAATGCAACTTATTACATTAAAAGAAATTAAAGCAGAAGTATCATATTATCACCTCATATAGAGAAGAAAGATTTTATTCAAACCAAAATCAGCTTTTATTTAACCTACTTTTTTCCAATAAATCATAGCAGATATCATAGTCAAGAGTGAAAAATCTTTAAAAAATAAGGAGCAGAACAACGATACCCTTTACCACATTCAGGCAATATAATAGAAAATGTCCTTAAAAAGTGCAGTGAGAAAAAAGAACGTGAGGACTTGTCCCAGGACTCTCTGATTTGGAGCTACGGCTGTCTATGTAAACATCTCAAAAGAATCAGTAAGTTTTATACCTTAACAACTTTTCGAAACATGTATTTGTATAACCACATCATCTCCTTAAAAACTAACCATAACTCATACATCTGACAACCAATAGTAAAATGAACAAAGATATTCTGCTATATCCATGCTACACAGCAATGAAAATGGACAGATTATGGCTACATGCATACATATATATGTATATATGTGTAGCATAGTGAAAAAATTGAAAAGAAGGTATATACTAAGTTTTAATCATATAAGCTTCATAAATATACAAAAGCAAATAATAAATTTTTAGGAACTATGTAGTGATATAAATACACATATGGCAAATTTCTAAATAAAAACAAGGCAATAATAGTAGGAAATAATTAATTACAATTGGCAGAAATAAACAGCAATAATTAGAATGGGGGATTACAACATCAGAATAGTTTTGGAATTAGTTTTGGACTTTGCTTAAGCAAGACATAAAATCACCAGGTGAAATCACCAGGATTTCAGGATCTGTTATGGGATATGTTCGGCTAAAAGGAATAAAATTCTTCTAAAGGCTTATAAAAAGATACATTTTTAAATATATGGAGTGAATAGGCTTATAAAAAGATACATTTTTAAATATATGGAGTGAATATATAGGTGTCCTAGGTTGAGACACACATGGTGTCTGAAAATCCTCCCTGACAGTCACCTGAAAATACAATAGAAAAAACATACATAAGAACATAGCTGGTGCTAGATTTCTAGCACCATGGAACAACACCAAAAGCATAATGGCCTTACTTCACAGCTCTGCCACTGGTTTGGGATACTTGGCCGGAACTTCTGGTCACAAACAACCTTCCTCATTTCCTCTATCGAGGGATCAGAAGGCACCATGTCATAATAAGGCAACTGGTACTCCTCAACAATTCCTATAGGAAATTTGCATAGTAAGTGTATCTGCATAAATAATCAATAAGATGTCTATGTTAAAGTAATACCAATTAGGTCTTCTGGGCACAAGTCACCACCTTAGGAAACTGGAAAGGCAGATTTATTAAAACAATGTATGACTATAAAACTAAAGATTCAATTTAAAGTACTCGAATAGTCGTGTGAGTTATGAAATTTTATTATGAAAACACAAAGATTTTATGTGATTATTTATCATATGTGACACATAAAATGTTTTATAAAACATGTATTTTATAAAAATTATATATATTGCTTCCAATGAAAGTTTTGTAAATTTTTATTTACATAAATGTCTATGCAATTTTAAAATGACACTTAATTTCTCCTAATGATAAAAGTTATAGTATAGCCTCATTGCTCAGAATAAAGTATATTTTTATATCAAATTAATTTTTTGAAAGAAAGCAGCTCTCTTTGAAAAATTTCTGGCAATCTTTTAAAAGTTTATTTTCTCCCATTTAGAAGTTAGATCTACTGCAGGTGAAAACGATGAAGCAGACGGGATTGAGGAGGGAAAGTTCAACATGAAGGCTAGTGTTTACAGAGACTCAAATCCAAAGTCAAAGGCGACCTAAAGTATCAGGATTCTACTAGAATTCCAAGAAATTCCTTGTAAAGTCTTTTTCATTAACTATACCTCTCTTAACTGAAATATTTGAGGGCAGGGCTGGCAAAGGGGCTCAAGTGGTAGAGCCCCTGCCTAGCAAGCATGAGGCCCTGAGTATGAACCCCAGCACAGAAAGGAAAAATTAAGGACAAAATCCTAAAAGCAAATTTAGATAAGTATCAATAATGAATGTGCTAGAAATCCTTATTTGCCCCAGTCATTTTTATAAGCTTTCTATAAGTTTTAACTAATTACACCCCAAAACCACGAACCAAAGAAGGTACCATCTCATCCCTGTTTACAGATGAGGGAACTGAGACACAGTATGGTGAGTTTGCTAGTTAACTGGCAGACCTGGAGTTCAAACACAGGCTTAGAAATTCCAGGATTTGCATTTGCACTGCTCCAATTCAATTGCTTCTATGAATAGTTTCATAGTCCTGAATTTTTTGCTATCCAACTATGAGTAAAAGAGAAAAATGTTTTTTCATTCAAATACATTTTAATCTTATAAGCTTTTCATAAAATCTGCAAGTGTTTTTAAAATGAGATGGATATAATGCAAAGTAACATCAATACAAAATGCAAAAAAATGACAGTGGATTAGTAATAACAAATTTTATTGAATGCTTACTATGCAGTACTGTAAGTGCCACACGTATTGAATCATTAAATCCTCCAAGCCCAAGGAATAAGTTTCATCATTATCTTCATTGACTTCATCCTAAGTCTGTTTCATTTAAAAGTGAAAACTGGGCACCGTGGTTCATACCTGTAATCCCATCTACTTAGGAGGTAGGGATCAAGAGAATCACAATTCAGTGCCAGCCTGAGCAAAAAGTTAGCAAGACTCCATCTCAACAAATAAGCCAGGTGTGGTGGTATACCAGCTACACGAGAGGCATCCATAGAAGGATTACAGTCCTAGGCTGGTTGCAGCAAAAAGCAAGATCCTATATAAAAAATAACCTAAAGCAAAAGGGGTGAGGGCATGGCTCAAGTGCAGGGTACTTGCCTAGCAAGTGCAAGGCCCTAAGTTCAAACCCTTGTACTACAAAAAATGTTTAAACTTTATAATCCGTTTTTCACCAGCATTAATTTTTTTCTCCACATATGCAATAATTTCAGCAGGCTGCATTTGTAGGACTTCATGTACCCAATTAATTTCTAGCTGCTGGAAAAAACAGAGGCAGGAATTTGTCTTCGCTCAGGACCCCTCTGCTTTCTTCCTTATTTCTGCCCCATATTCATCATATCACAGGAAAGAAAAGAAGAGCAAGAAGAATCTGAAAAACAGAAGACTTCAATTTAAGTCTTGTGGTCTTGGGAAGTCATGTAAGTTCTCTGGGATATAAACTAGGAATTCTAGCTAACTGCACACAAACTCAAATAAGATAGTTTTCCAGTGCCTCACAAAGCACCATGATGGGAATCGATTTCCAGGAGGACTGTCACTCCATCTAAGCAGAACTCAAAATATAAAATCTCCATTATATGTAGGATGTTCCACTTTTGTCACTGCAAAGATATTACCAAAGGGCAATTCTCTTAAATATTTTAAAAATGATTCAATATAGTGCTTAGGATAAAAAGATAGAAAACCACATTTTGTATTCAGGGTATCCAGGTAAGGCAGACAGAAAGGGTATTTCCAAACTCTTACCACCAACTGAACACCTTCGGGCGATTTCCCAGTAAACCAGACCAACAGAATAGATGTCCGCTCGTTTGAAGGACTCAAAGATACTCACATTCATTGTGTCATCAAGCATTTCTGGAGCCATATACCTTCAAAAACACGCACATTTCAGTGCCAGTCTATGACCTTATAGAAGTCTAACAAAATACAATCTTAATAAATCCTGACCTAAAGTATAAATTAAGATAGCTTCCATCAACATTAAAAGGATATCCAAAGTACCATAATGTTATACAATTTTATATATAAACTTACTCTTAAAGTTATATTATATAGTTATTGACCCAACAATCAAATTCAAAAACATTTCAAACAGATCTAGAGGTCATTCAATTTGGCATGACAGCGGGTGCAACAGGAGCCTAGTACTTGAAAAGTACAAATGAGAGAGAAATTCAGTGACAAAGCAGTCAGCATAAGATGGAACTCAATCTCCACCAATAACTTGCTGCCCCAGAAAGGTCTTTGAGAACAGAGTGAGCTTTACTCATCACAGTGGGCCCAAGCCTCCAACATGGTGCTGGGCAGCATTCCACAAATACCTTCTCCAAATAAATAAGTTTACTATATATTGTGTCAAGAAAAGTGTAGCCTTGTTTGAACAGAATTAAATGGAATTTCATGGGAACTGACAGCCTAGCCTACCTAGGAAGATTTTGGAGACTTCTCATACCTTTGAAGTAAAGATGCCACACTCTCCAAGTTCTTTCAAAAGTCTTAGAACCTCTGAAGGAATCCAGCATCCTAGCCTGCCCCAAGGATCTGTGATGTGAGACAGAAGAACTGTACTCTAGGACTTCCCATTCTCAATACACTGCCCTGAAGTGGTTCTGCTACTTTATTAATGTCTCCAGGAAGTCAGGAGCAGGATTCACAGGCATTGTCCTATAATCTCAAACACAGCATAGAAGCCAGCTGCACCAGCTTAGAAATTTTCTACTCTCTAGGGTCCTTAACAACTCTGGGAAAATATTTTGATTGTTGCTGAGTTCAGGGTCAAGAACCCTGGAATTATGCCAAAATAGCATAGCACCTGAAATTCAAGTAAAAGAAATGGAAATAGACTGGGTGGGTGGCCACCTGCTGTTCATAACAAGAAACACACTAGAAATCCATTACTAATGAATCTGTCCCAATACACATGTGGTGTGCTCCACTTACATCATGCTTTTCTTTGCTTTATCTTTCTTTACTTTTCCTTTTTTGGTGCTGGGGATCAAACCCAGGGCCTCACACATGCAGGGCAAGTATTCTACCATTAAGTTACATCCCAGCTCACATCCTGCTTCTTCTTAATATTCATGAATTATCTTCCTGGACAGTGGGAATTTTGTCTAAACTCATATTACCTGATGCATATCACTTGGAATACTTAATCATAAGTACGATTTTAGGTAACACACATCATATCTTTAAATTTTAATGGAATGTAATAGCACATAAATATATTTATTATATAGAATTCCTAACCTATCTATTTCAGTACATTGATTCTGTACCTGTTGCTTAGAATATGACCATGTAGAAAGAACCCTCAGTTTCAGTTCATTTGTGGGATAAAGTAGCTATTCACCACTAAAGGTATTTTCTTATCTGTAAGAAAATGGCACACTGTCTCTTCTACCATTCCCACTCTATGGACTCTGCACCCAAGTGGCTACTCCATAGCCAAAAATATCATCTCTACCACTCTAAGTCATTGTGTCCACTCACTTCTTAGTGACTCAGAAAAGACTTCTTGCTTTCTCTGGTCTAATCATTTCCCAGTTGAACCTGAGCCCCCTGTACACACATCATAGGCATTCATGTTTTTCTGGTTAAACATAAGTTTCAGTGTGCTACCAAAGTAGCCAGCTTACCTCTTGGTTCCCACTTTAGGATTCTGAGGTATATCTATAGTGTTAAGTATTGAATCATGCTTCACAGCCAGCCCTAAGTCTGCTATGGCACACGTTTCACATTTTTTCACTAAGATATTTTTTGATTTTATATCGCGATGAGCAATGGCAGGTTTACCTATGAAGGATAAGAAAAGCACATTCATTTTTCTTCTTTACTAAAGACTGAGTCTTTCCAAGAGGAGTCATTTTGAAGACTTAGCTCAAATGTTACCTCCACAGATAGCTCTTCCCTACCCACCCATTCTTCATTCCAAATCCTTCATCAGAACACCTACTCTGCTTTCCTCATAGCTTAGTAGTGTCTAGATTATCTTCTTTACTCATAAATGTGTCTAACCATCTGTCTTTCCAAACTAAACCATAAGCTGAATGAGAACAGTGACTTGTCTTGTTTGTCACCATGGCTTAGAATGCTAAGTGACATTAGTAGGCACTAATAAATAATTTTTGAATAAGAATGATGAAAATTACCATTACTGTGTATACCTATAAACATGGCAGATATTTTCTAACAAAACAGTTTAAATTTTTATGACCCTAGATCAGTGGTTCCAGATGTGAACAAAGCTCTGTGGGGTCCTTGAGACCATTTTCTAACTGTATTATTTGTGTGGTGCCACCTTTTCTTTACTTACTTCAACCAAAATAATATAATGGGACACACTGAATGAAGAACAGGTATGAAAATCTAGACAAGCTGGACATTAAAGAGAGGTACAAAAAATGTAAAACAAAGCCATTATTTCTGATAGGTTTTATATCAGGAAAAGTAATATAACATATAAAACTATTATTTACATTAACATTTAATTGGCTTATTACTATTACTTTAAGTAAATAATTTTTACTCAATTTTAATTTTTAATATGATAAATATTTATATAGCCTACATACACAAAACCTTTTTGGGTTTTGAATAATTTTTAAGAGTGTAAAGAGATCATGAATCCAGACTTGAGAACCATCGATCTGTTTATAATGACTTTCTACAGTCAACTTCCTATTAATTCAATAAATTGAAAAGGCAGTGGATATCATTTGGCCTTCAAGTATTTGATAATCAAATATCTTTCATGTTTACATTATCTTTTCCAATTATTGTTTAATTATCAAAGACAAATATTTAAATTATTTTAATCTCAGAATGTTTATAGTCTCTGAGCTTTTGCCACCAGCACAAGATCTGTAGGCACATAGGTTAAATGACAAAAAGAGAGCCACTGGAAATAAGAATATATATAACAGATAACACAAAGAATTGAAAGTATACATGTAAAAGTTGACTGTATCATGCCAAAACCTCATGTTTAGGGCCAAATGTGATGGCTCAAAGCTATTATCTTAGCTACTCAGGAGATGGAGATGGGGAAGATTGTGGTTCAAGGCCAGACCAGGCAATAAGTTCATTAAGCCCCATCTCAACAAAGAGTTGGGTGCAGTGGCATACCTGTCATCCCAGCTACATGGGAAGCTGAAATTGGGAGGATCGCAGTTCCAGCCCAGTCCAAGCAAAAAAGTTCATGAGACACCCCAGCTATGCAGGGAAGCACAAATAGGAGGATCTCAGTCCAGGCCTGTCCAGGCAAAAAAGCCAGACCATATCTCAAAAATCAACAAGGAAAGGGCTGGCATAGAAATCTAAGTGGTAGCTCACCTGCCTACCAAGCATGAGGGCTTTCCCAGTACTGCCAATAAATAAGTAAATAAAGTTCCTTTATAACTGATCACTATATGTAAAGAACTAAAGTACAACTTAGTAGTCTATCCTCATATTCAAGGAGAAATAGTCTGAAAGGAAATGCATACCTTGTGTCCCAACAATCTCCATATGAAGGTGGGCCAGACCACTCGCTATTGAAAGTGCCAATTTGATCATTCCAGCCACTGTCACTATGTTTCTATTCAAATAGTCGAATAAGGAGCCCTGTTCATGATACTCAGATACAAGCCAAAGCTGAGTCCAAGTTCCATTATCTAAATACAATAGAAATATTATGGAAAACATAATTTGTTGCTGTAAAATATATGTTAAGAAAGAAGCCAAAAGGTTTTTTTAGCAAATGGCAGTACTTAACATTAATCTGTATTGTTATCAAAGCAAAGTTAATTCCTTCAGTAGGAATATTTTCAGTCCAAATTAGGAAAGCAGAAAATTGTTGACAAATTACTGACAATTTGTCAGAGCCCACCATAGAAACAGGAAGTTGTGAAATAGTGGTTCTAACAACCGAGTGATGCTTTCTTATAACAGCGTCCACACTGCAGGAGAAACTCCTGAGAGACACATGTAAGCTCAGTGTTGTGTCATAAATCACTCTAAGATTTAAGAATAATGACACCAAAAAAGATCAGAAATGCAACAAATTTGCACAAAGTATTTTTAGTGTCATAAAATCTCTAACGTTCCAACAATGTCCATGCTATTTGCCTTTCAAAATAGGAAGCGGATGATGTTCCCCAAATGCTTATAAAGGGCAAATACAATTGCTGGACATTTTTTAAAAATTTGCTTCATTCAACCAAAAGCTAACCCAGTTTCATATTCTTAAAGACTTTCAGTGAAGAGAAATTAGTCTAACATTTCTCTAGGTATTAGCACTCCCAGGATTAGCTTTAGCTTTCTAAATAAAATGTATGTAATGACCTATATGACTGGCCAGTTCTGACACTCAGGGAATGGAATCTAACATTTCTCAGAACCTCTCCCGCCAGATGTTGTATTGCAGGAGCTTCTTGTTATCCAAATTTCATTTCCAAACTCAAGTAGTGATAGAATTTCCTAGTAATACAAAGGTCACCCTAACGATAAGTTCACTAATAAGCTGGTCACACATAAAACTCACCCTTACATTCTCTCCCTGATTGGTGGCAGTGGCTATCTTTGCTCTTTCACATTGCCTTTGTGAGGCAGATGACTAAAAAGTGAGACTATAAGTGTCTCAGGAAGTACAGGAATTCACGAAGATGAAAGTAGTATTAGGCACCATTTGGTACTGTGCACAAAGAGATTGGTAATTAGGACCAGTTAAACTGAGGAAGAGAAACCTAAGGATGATTCCCATTTTGCACGGTCTTTTATAATCCAATAAGGAGCATGATTAACTAGTGCCATCAAGATGAGCCGAGCCGTCTGACTGTAGTCACGACTCAGTTGATAGCATTGCTAATTAATTTAACCAGCAGGGAGGTAGCTCGGCTCCAGATTAGGAGGGAAAAATTATTAATAGCTAAATGAGAAATGTCTCATTTTAAAAATTCTGGATAAAGTTTCAAAGTACATGTTGTTAAAAATTTGGAAATAACTTTTTTTATTCATTTTGGCTTTTCTCAATTTCTCCCTAGCAATTTAGAAATGACAAATCATCAACAAATACAACTACGGCCAAAATGTGTGACAAATGCTAAGTCTCTCTTTTGCCATCTAATTAATAATGAATACTTTTATGTTAGATTAAAAGAACCATGCTTTTAATGTTTACAGGCAATGGTGGATGCCTGACATCTACAGAGAATTGGTTTTAAGCTTGTTTTGGATGAGGTTGTAACTGTGATTCCACCAAAGTACTTCATAAATTCTACTGATTAGAGATGTAATTTAAAAATGAACTGAATCAAGTTTGCTCACTTTTGTTCCCCATTTCCTTTCCTGGAACAGTTAAAGAATAAAAGCTTTGAGGAAAGAAGAAAGCATAGGTAATCCATAAGGTTCATATCCAGCCTGATTACTCAGTCTTATATGTTATTTTAGGAATACTGATTTTAAAAACTAGAAAGCCGATGCTCTATTTTGCTTCATTGAACTCAAAAAACAAATAACACTGTTTATCACTTGTTAATGTTAAACTTCAAGATATAAATCATGTTCAAAGCAATTGAACATTGCTTCTATCCTTCTAATACAATCTGGAGATAACACTCATTGAAAACGGGAATCCTGAAAATCAAGTCTGTTACACAGATGAGAAGTACAGTCATAGCACAGCATCCATTGGTATGTCTGTAGAATATTGAAATATTTCCATCCTGGTGGGTAAACAGCTGCTATTCAACACTCCCAATGGCACTTCTTTGCCCTTGACGTGCAAATAGCCACGCCTATAAAGGTGCCACCAGATCTTTCCATGACCCAGCAGCAACTAAAGAAATGACACCCAGCATGGCAGGGTTTTCCAGGACTGGGCTGCAGATGAGACTTCTGTTTGATTGGTTGGTTCCCACTCCACACTAGTCATCAAATGCTTTAAACATCAACCTCGCTACTGCGTCATCGTGGTTTCATATCAGTCACTTGCCTTGCTTTACGGAATGGTCATGTACATGAATTTGTAGAAAAGAAGACAGAATTTTCTTCCTCAGTAAAGAAATTAGAGTTTTATGCAGCATTCTGTTGAAACAAAAAGATACTTTCGCTGCTGGCAGAGATAAGGAGGATCATGGTTCAAAGCCAGCCCAGGCAAATAGTTGGTGAAACCCTATTTTGAAAAAAACCATCACAGAAAAAGGCTGGTGTAGTGGCTCAAGGTATAGACCCTGAGTTCAAGCCCCAGTACCACAAAAAGAAAAAGGGAGATATATTCTCATCTGACAGTAGATGTGACATTTTTATTACTAAACCCAATTAAAGTGAAAATACCTTTGTTGTCAGCAGCGATGAAACCAAGGATGTTTTCATGTCGTAGCATAACCGTCTGATAAATTTCTGCCTCACGAAACCAAGACCTTTCATCTCTAGAGGAGAATATTTTCACAGCCACATCTTCCCCGCACCATCGGCCATGCCACACCTCACCAAATCTACCTTTTCCTACTATTTCCTGAAGTACAATCGTTCTTGCAATTGTTCTTTGAACTAGAAGAGGCAGACCTAACCAAAAAAAAAAAAAAAAAGTAGAATCAATCATTGAAAACAAATGGTCACTATTTTCATGACAAAAGCAAATATTTAAGCACTTTAATAATTTTATCAATTTTGAAGGAATAAGCATCATTATAGCAAATCTTAATGCAAAGGCATGCTCAAGAAAATACTCTAAATTATGAGTGTGAATTTCTCTTCTCCTAGCCACAAATAAAAATTTTTTGAACATAGTTTGCTGTTACAGTTATTGGAGTTTCAAGAATTGCTGAAAATCTCCCTGGATTGCTCATCAAAGCCAGTTAGGTTACTAAAGACACAAAGGAAAAACAAAGTTTGTTGACATCTAAAATAATGTGTGGTTTTTGATACACCTTGGAAAGCAAAAGAATTCTTTGTGAATTTTTTTCAATGCACTTTAAAATTTAAAAGTAAAGGATCAAATTTGGACTGGAGATATGGCTCAGTGATAGAATACCTGAAGTCCTGGGTTAAATTCTAAGCACAGTTAAAAAAAAAAAAATCCAGTGATCTAGTGAGGCAGTAATTCCTCACTAAATTATACTAAAAATATTTTTTCTGTGTAATAAAAAAATCAAAGAAAACATTCTGAGTGTATGCATAATTAGTTATGTATTTTAAACCAATGACTTCACCTCTAGAATTTTATCCTAAAGATTTCTTTTAAAATGCAGAGGCAGAAGCAGTAGCTCACACTTAATCACAGCTATTTGAATTGCAGTTTAAGACCAGCCCAGGCACAACCAATAAAACCCAATAAGAATCTGGGTACAGTGGTGCACTCCTGTAATTCCAGCTATGTTGGAGGCTTGTGGTTTGAGACTGGCTTGGGCAAAAATCATAAAACTCTATTTTTAAAAAAAAAGTAGCCTAAAGCTAAAGTGCTAGAGATGTGGCTCAAGTGGTAGAGCTCCAAGCAAGTATGAGGCCCTAAGTTCAAACCCCAGTACTGCCCAAAACATTAAATTAAAAAATAAAATGCAGAAAATGTTATGTCAAATGTTGAATACATTATTATTATTTATAAGGAAATGTGTCAGGTCACAGAAAAAAATTTTAAATATAGTACGGATGCTACAAGCACAGATAAGAAAGAACTGGGTTCAAATCTCGACTCTACTACCTGGTAACCATTAGAAAGTTAGTTAACCTCTCTGGGCGTTTGCTTCTTTCTCTGAAAAGCAGGGAAATAATATTACCTATCCCACAGAAATGATGAGGGAATTAATAAGCATGGTAAACACCTAGCACAGTGTCTGACATATTACATGCTCAATAATGGTTTTACCTTTAATATTATATGCATCGTAGCTACATGCCTGTCACACCAACTACTACAGAAAGCATAGATAGGAGGGTGTGGTCCAGGCCACCCCAGGGAAAAAGTGAGACTTTACCTCAAAAATAACCAGAGCAAAAAGGGGTGAAGTTGTGACTCAAATGGTAGAGTGCCTGCCTAGCAAGAACAAAGCCCTGAATTCAAACCCCAGTACCATTAAAAATAAATGAAAAAAGTGTCTCTAGCTTTTAAAAATATGCAGAAGAGAAAAATATGTAGAATGAAATCTGCTAAGTGCTATGATGGTTATTTCCATTTGGTGAATTAAGGTGAATCATAATATTCTTCTTTCTCATTTTCATAATTTCTAAAATGCATATTTATTGCTCTTATAAGTCTTATAATCAGAGGGAAAATAGTTAAACAGGCTATAAGATAAATTTACTCTAGAAAGTCAGTTTGATTATTGTCATTGTCTTCAGATGGCTGTGACAGCAACAACCCTGAAGCTCCTGGGGGCTTCAGCCCTGGTTCTAAAAACAAGCCACTGTTTCTTCAGATGTTCTCATCTTCATGAGAACTGCTCACTGTGGCTAAATAGGCACAGACTAGAAATTTATTGGTATGAGCCTTGACAACTAGTCACAAAGCCCCACAGTCAGAAAGTTCTTTTGACATTGTCTAGCTCATCTTATCATTAGTGATAAGAAAATTGAAGCCCGACCAACATTAATCAAAGACTATGCTACCAGGACTACGCTGCTGCTGGGAGGCAAATGCAAAACTAAAATGGGTTTCCTGCCCAAACTCTACTCTCTTGCTATTGGGTGAATATGACTACAGTCCTCCCTGTGGGAAGATTTCTAGCAGTAAATTGTAAGGACTACTTTTGTTGGCTATAGTCAATTTTACTATTTGATAACACACAGAAAGTAACACTAACATCTTAGGCCAAATCTCAATCTCAGTCTCTCCCTCATTTCACGGTCTTAGACCCACATACATACACACTCACTCACACTCACAAAATCATCATGCCAACAGCCAGCATCACCACCACTGACACAACAAATGCATAGACAAATAGATGAGTCAATGTTTTCAAAGTGCAATTGATCAAATATACTGTCAGTGGTGCAGGCAAAGAAAGACAACATGTAAGTACTCAACAGAGCAATTAAGACTGTAAAAATGATAGTGCTTTGCTATCTTTCAAAGCAACCACTGGTGTAGTTCTTGTGTTGCGCACCTAGAGATTTCATTTGAAGACACATAGACTTTGCCTTTCGCTCAAGTTCTTTTTAATCTTTTCACCAGGAATTGTAGAAGCTGTTGCCTGATTTGTGTCACCATTCATCAGAACTGTTATACCACAAGAGAGAGTAGCAAACTTCCAGTCTTTTAGAAGCCAGCTGAGACACAATCCACTCTCAGAGACAGTCCAATAAAACATCAGTCTATTTTCCCCTCTTGCAGGCACTATATGTCTTTGAAATTTGTCCCAGACCAGATCAGGGATAAGCTTCACCATTTTTGTTTCTCAACATCTGACAAAGTTGCCTCACATTATTCAAGGTCAGTGGCCAATTAAGGAAAGCAGACAGGAAGTAGAACCACCCAGTCCCCCCCCCCCCACCCTGCCTGTGAGCTTTTGTGTCGGAAGACTTGCTGTGGACAAATCCATTCTCTGATTTTCAAAAGCAGAGAAATGTCAGCTACTTTTAGCCAGAGGTCACTGCCAAACATATGCAACTGGGTTTGGAGAAGAATACCTAAAACTCCTTCAAATTTGTCTTTAAAGGAACCATTTGTGCTTGGTTACATTGACTCCTTTCTTTTTACAAGAGATCTTAGACTAACCTAAAAAAGGAAGAATCCAGAAATCAGGAAATCCAGAATTAGGTATGAAGATACACAGAAAATATCAAAAACCCTAGCTTGGACTCATGACTATTTTCTTAAACTAAATATCCAGTATCCAATTTTTAAATCTGTATTATTGTATCTGGAAACGAATTCCTTGGTTATCTTGATTTAAGAATAACTCTAAAATACACATTTCTACCTAACTCAGATGAAGCAAAATGTTTTGGTAGGGACTAAGTGGCTAGTTATTTAATCATTTGAACCTTAAGAAGAAATTAAATAAATTTTCAAGAAATTAGGCACAAATCAGAGTTTTTTGTGCCTAAAATGTTGTCCATGCTCAAAAGCTTAGGACACAGTGGGCTTCAAAATGTAACACTGAAATAAGGAAAGAGTAATGAGTCCCAATAAGTATTACTTTTAAGGAAAGAATGTCAGCCTTCTATCCAATGATTTTAATTTGGGTTCCAGTCTATAAATTTTGAAGTTTCAATATTTTTTTCCTAATTTTCCTTATTTGAAAACATACAACTAATTTGTGTGGTGATGGTATAGACATTTAGACTTGGGTCAGGAAAGGTCAGGGAATATACCAGGCGATCCCCTACCATTTTAGGAAGTTTTTATTATGATGAAAAGCTTTGTGCTATGAGAAATTCTCATTTGGGCCATAATACACACAGCCTGGAACTTGGAATTGCTTCACCAAGATCTGGAGTCCAATAAAGAGGAAAAGAGTCATCATAGACACTTAAGCAGCAGAAGCCAGCTCAGGGATGTAGTGCTGCTGCCTTTAATCTCAGCTTCTACCCTTTCGAAACGTACTGTTGATTTAATTCTACATCAGCTCCGTTAACTTTGCACACGTCCATGGTGTCTACAGATTCTGAAGCCCCTCATAACTACAAGCAAAGAGTACTACTTTGCATAACTAATGCATTTTCCCAGAATTCACTGCTTTAAATACAATAACCCTAATTGTTTTGTGTCCAAAAAACAGTGCCAAGACATTAATAAGTATTATTAAATAATCAAAATAGAGGTGTTAGGGAGGACAAAAGAGACACTGAAATAAATAAGGAGATAAATAAATAATGAATCAAACAAATAAATCCTAAAAGGGACAAGAAAATGAAAATCTCAACACATAAGGCTACAGGTGCAACTGAAAAGACTATTAGGCCGTGACAGTTTTTTTCCCTTAATCTAAAAGAAGTTTCTACACCAGAGCTTTCTATGTACCTCAGCAAGCATTTGAAATGATGGAATTCGTAATATTTGGGCACTATTTTGTCAAAAATTTTTTCATTTATTTTTAAATAAGGATTTCCTTCCTGAAAGTGGGGAATGGCACACACCAGAGCCCGATCCCGAGGCCGTGACATCGTAGATCAGATCTTTCAGCGTTTTTCCAGCATTTACTAGGTTGTACTCAGATAGCGGCTCCTCCACATTCTGTCTCTTTTTCTTTCTGTTCGTGCACTGCCGATCTTGGCATGCCCATATCGTCAGCATGGCTGCTATGGACAGAAGGCAAACAGGCACAGTAATAACAATGGTCAGCTCCATGGGTCCAAGTTTTGGGGCATTTGGAGATGCTGCCGTTAAAAAAGAAAGAAATAAAAAGAAGACAACCATAAATCAACCCATCTAAAACATTTTAGAAATAAGAAATGCAAATTTTCATATCTAGAATATTCGGCTACACAGTATGCACTCACGTTCATGGTGGTAGAAGCAAAGACGGGGAAAGAGGAACAGTTATGTCAGTAACAATGGAAAACATAATTAGTATCACGGAAGATGGCTAGCTTATAAGACTCTTTTTTTAAACCTCCAAGTGTTTGACATTTTTATGTATACTGTTTTCTCCCCGTTATTCAGCAGTCCATCCACAGAGCTCATTCATTCTTCATGCTGCAAATATTTAGCAGGCTATGCTGATGTATTGCTATTGTTCCAGGGGCTGGAGATAGGATGGTGAGTAAGGCACCCAATGCCTGCAGTCCTAATGTGTTGTTCTCACATGCACAATGAAGCAGAGATGTGAAAGGTAAGAGAGGATAAGCTATGAAGATGAAACAGCAGGAATGAGAGGTGATGGCAAGATGCCATATTAGTGCTCCTAGAAGGACTTTCTAGAGAGGTGTTTAGCAGGAAAATGAAACAGGTAGTATCACAGAGTAGGGATGAGTGTCTCTAGCTATGGAAAGCCAGCGTTAGGGACTCTGAGGCAGAAGTTAGCTTGATATGTTAGGAACGTATCCTAGAGTGCAATAAATAAGGGAAAGAGAAAGGAAGTAGAGATCAAGGACTTCATGGAAAACACTGTGTGGGGTCTTATAGGCTAAGAAAAGGGCTGTAAATTTTATTCTATGCAGAAGCTGTTGGAGAGTTTTGAGCAGGTAAGAGATATAGTGGAACTTTTATTTAGTGGCCACTGTGTGAATAGACCATGGTAAAACAGAAAGAAAAGCAATGCGAAATCCAGTGAAATAAGCCTGGCGGGCGGCTATGGTCTTGGCTAATAACACTGCCTATGAAAGAACTTTCTTGTAGCCAGGTGTGGTGGTACCTGCCTATAATCCCAGCACTCAGGAGACTGAGGCAGGAGAATCTCGAGTTTGAAGGCAGCCTGTGCTGTATAGTGAGGCCCTGTCTCCAAAAAATCAAAATATAAAAAAAGAATTTCTTGCCATTCCTCATTTACTCTCTAGAACTGTGTCATGCTTTAACATCTGGCTAATATGACCACATGGGACATCACACACTCATTTATTTTTTATCTGATTTTTCTTCAAAGAACAAAAGGTTTATGAAAGGACGAAGTTTGCATACACTGCTCCCAAGTATACGCCCAAAGCTTACACAGTGCATGACAAATCGTGGATGATCTGTAAATAGTTCTTAAATGTCAGAATCATTAAAAGTTCTGTTAGCTTTCTTTCTAATAAGTCAGGGATCAGATTCTTTCTTTTAGAAAAATAAATGTGATCGTTGAAACCAAACAACATAAAGGTACAATTAAATTTGTGACTCTAATTTTAAAACAAACATAGCCAAATTTTAAAAATATAAACTACATTGTGCACTTAAGAAATCTTTTTCTTTAATTTTAGTAAAAAAGTGATATATAAAAACTCTATAGTGGCAGATATTTCCTATGGCTTTCAAAGAGGTTGTTTTGTCATCTGAAACTAAGCATTGTTCATTTCCTTTTCATTCACTGAAAACAGCCTCAGCATCAATTTACTTTTATCCTGTGTCCTACCATATAGGTGTTGATTTTTATTTTTAATACACCATGAGATGTATTTGATAGAGTAGGGGAATAGAGTTGAGGAGACTTAGGTTCTCAAACATCAAGAAGAATCATGTAGGCTCTGGAGAGAGAGAAGCCTGACTCAGTCGTGGGCTGCCTCTTTCTTACCCTGAACCTTGGGGAAACTGTCTTCTACCCACTTCAACCCAGCCCCCCTCCTCCCCCCTGCCACACACACAGAGCTGCTTTTGCACAGGCTTGGGAGAGGGTTAGAGACCATATCTAGAAAGCAATAATATAATACCCACACCTTAAACAATGACTATATCAATGGACCTTGTGAATTACACCATTCCTCAGACTTCCTTCTTTCCATTGAGAAGGCTACACAGCTTATTGTATTCACTGTGTTTCCATTTTACTTTGCAATGTGTCAAAAAGACATAATTATCATTTGAAAGCAAATATTATTCAATTCTACAGGAAAGGGAATCAAATTCCTCAAGAATGTGTACATAGATATTTCACCATAATCCTAAAAGTTGTTAATCTATTATCAGTAAGTAAAAGATGTTAAATTGTGAAATGAACTTTGGAAATATAATTCAGGCTCTTCAGACATTATATAGTAAATATGAGTGGGTCACCAACTTTGCTTCCTCTGAAGCTTCTAGACGCCTCTGGAGAAATTAATACAGATACTTTAAAGTGACTGAGGCCAATAGAAGAAGGGGACCAGGAACTAGAGAAAAGGTTAGTTCGAGAAGAATTAACTTAGAAGGTAACACACATGTACAGGAAATCAATGCATGTCAACTCCCTGTATAGCTACCCTTATCTCAACTAGCAAAAACCCTTGGTTCTTCCTATTACTGCTTATGCTCTCTCTTCAACAAAATTAGAGATAAGGGCAAAATAGTTTCTGCCTGGTAGTGAGGGGTTGGGGAGGTAAGGGAGGGGGGTGAGGGGGTAAGAGAGGGGATGGGGTGAAGGGGGGAGAAATGACCCAAACATTGTATGCACGTATGAATAAAATAAAAAAAATAAAAAGACTCCTCTGGAATCACTAGAACTTAAACAGGTGCTTGGGCAAACAGCCTGAGTGTTCTTTGACAGGTGCTAACAGAGTTCTATGAAAACTTTGCTTAGAAATTATTAACCATGGTCTTTGTGACTTTTAAAGTTTGTTGTTATAAAAGAATTTTATTGTCTACTTCACAGTGATCTTTTAAACTGTATCTATATTTTTATGACCTCACAAGTGTATTCTACGTATTCTAAGAAAGCCACAGAATGCACTCTGTCACCTGAATTGACTTTATTTTTAAAACACCTATTTAAACATATTTAAAGGCAAAATTCCACTATTGGATATATTTATATGGATCAATTTTATTTTGATATGTTACTAGGAACTACCAATATAAACATTAGCCTTAAAAAGCTTACTGATTGTCTTCGTTTCCATAAACCTCTATTAAGCAGAGCTCAGATTGTCACTATAGCAACTAACGAGTAGGCAAAAGGTCATCAACCTGAAAACAGAATCATCACAAAAGCACACAGCTCTAGTGCTGGCCACTGCTCTCAAAGATGTTTATTACACATGGGCAGTGTTTCCACTTTTATGAACAAATTTACTAATATGGGGTAGTAAGAAAAAATAGATTACTCAGCTAGAAAAAAGCTAGCAACTATCCAGAAAGAACTCCTTAAACACTGAGCAATTTTAAAAGCAAACATTTGAAACACTATGCTTTAAATCAAATGATGATTGTAATCTCTAAAGGAAAAAAATGAAAGAAAAAAGTATAGTATATACTCAATGAATCATGGTAGAAGACAATAATGTAGCTAGGAGTATGTTTTAATAATATATATCTTTGATGTACATATTAATTTTCTAGCAGGTTCTACATTCTTCATCACAAAAGAACTTTTAACATTTAACAATTTCTAATTCAGGGGATTTGAGATGCATTCCCCATGGGAAAAGCAATTCCATGAAAGGATGAGGTCTGGAAAGCCCTGCATTGCTAATTCTAGTTATTTCAGTCCCATGCAAATTAAATAGAAGAGGATGAAAAAGATGAGGGAAAAGCACTAGTTCAGTTGTGTGAGAGCCTAGCTCACAAATTTCTCCCCTATTTATATAAGCTCCAGAATGCATTAAACTGGAAAAATGCAAGGAAAAGAAGTACAGTTGTCCTTTGATATTTGTGGGGAGTGATTCAAAATTCACAAATGCAAAAAATAGCATGATGTGTACAAAATCTATGCACAACCTCCCCATGCACCTCAACTCATCTAGGGTTACTTACAATACCTAATGCAATGTAAATGCATTGTAACTGCCATATTGTTTTAGGGAATCATGACAGAGAAAAGTCTGCATGTGTCATTATCTGCATAACTTTTTCCTGAATATTTTCAATCTGCAGTTGACTGAATCTGTGGATGCAGAACTCACAGACATGGAGGATTGACTGCATTAGCAAAGTAGAGAGAAGGAGGATAGGGAAGGGGAAAAAAATTCATTTATCGCTGTGAATTTTGCAATTCTTCCTAGAGACCTGGGTGAAAATGGTGGTGGTGGAAGCCACTGGTGGTAGCTACTGTCCACATGAAATGAGGAGCTGGTGGAGTTGCATCAGCTTCTCCCAGGACAGCTCACTACTCCCACTATCCCTCACCACTCCTACTACCCCTCACCACTTCCTATTTCTTGCCTTAGGGAGGCAAACTCATCAAGATGAAATGTAAAAATGACACTACATGGTCATGGATCCTCACTTGTTTACTCTTTTTGTCTTTTTTTATCAAAAGTACAAAAAAAACCCATGATGTTTGTGAGATTTGCATGGCCTTCACCTTAATAAATTTACATTTCCTTAACATATGCAATAAGGGAGATGGCTTAGAATTCAGTGGAAGTGTGTACATGATCATTGCTTCAAATAATTCATATTGACCGTTGACTTGAAAATATCTAGGTATAATACAACTAATTACATTCAACTTGTTACAGACACATTTACCTACCACATTCGAATGACATTCAACTGCTGGAAAGCTAAGAGATTACAGTGAAGCAATGAACAGAAACTCTTTGAAGCTAGAGGGACCAAAGAGATATGTACTGACTAGCAGGCTATTTTAAAACAAATTATGGCGAAGAAAGCAGAGATTTTTATCCAATGTGCAATTTTGCAAGTTTTCAAGGTTTGTGCTTTTATGAAGCAAGAAGCTACAGAAAATTAAAAGGGCCTCAAACACCCCTAAAGAAACCCAGACTAGTCTTCTATTAAAACCACTCCTCATTTTATGAAAAGCTCT